AAATGTAAATTTTATAAATATAAATTTTCTATTTTATATTCCACGCTCCCGCGACTCATGCAAACCAGCCAAGAAATCTACACTCTGCGGGTTTTCATGCGAATCCTCCCCCTCTAATTGTAACGCACTTACCATATACATACTCATAGTGAACTAAATGTAATCATAATCGTAATTTTACTTTATATTTAAATATAGTTCGTACCTATTGTAACATAGGATAACCTTAGCCTACTGTTAAATTGTAATTTCTATGTTAAAATGACAGACGTAGTGCATGTGCGCATAAATCTCCGAAAGCACCTATATAAAAAGCTCAAACATTATTCTCTTGTTCACTAATCATCCTTCAATTGTTTTTCCGTTATACGAGGTGGTCCACGTATGTTTTTCTGAGTAGCACGCGCTCACTCGAGTTCAGACTTTGAGATAATTCATACGGTCCAGCGTCCGTTCATATTTGAATTATAATTGTTTTAAATCTAAATTGTCACGAGCTCTGTTCTCTAGTTTAAGCCCCAGTTTTAGTCGTTTTTATTCGAACGTATTTTAATTGTATTTCTTTAGTTTTGTTTTTATTGTTAAAATAAATTTAAGTTATTTAACTTCAACTTCTACTTAATCTTTATTTCAGTGTTAAAATTTTAATCATTAAACCTAGAATCCGCGAATCTTGTTAATTATTAAGCATAAATCAACGCATCGCGTTTAATTCAGATCGAAGAGACAACTCACCGCATCGATACTGCCTTCCTCATCAACAACGCTGCAAGTTTACTTTCTACGTTGCAGTCGGTATTTTATTGGCGACTGATATCGTACCGACCGGCAACGCCACAGCCTCGGTTGAGCCTGCGAAAAATAACTTGAGGTAAAAGTTTTACTATCTTTGCCTATTCCGTACGAAGGAGAGAAACCATCGAGAAATTTGTCGTCTGTAGACGAAAAGAGTGACTTTATCAGACACGAACGTACGGACTGCGTGGAGGAAATATTTATACATGTATTTCAAATTATCTTTTTCTTATACACACGTACTATTTTAAAATGTATGTATACATCTCTTTTGTTAGAACACAATAAAAAAATAAAGTACAGTGTAATATTTTTAATAAGTTTTTAAAGATTTGAAGAAAAAGTATAAATCAATGATTTATTTTTGAGTACTTA